AGGGACGCTCCTCTCCCATCCCCCCGTTCCAAAAAGCAGGAAGACTCCGGCAGTTTTATTAGTACGTTGCATCTCTGCAAGTCTACAAACTTTTATAATACTCTACACCATTCTATCTAGAATTTCACTTACATCAGGGTTTTCTTGAGGGGTGGGGGTTGTGTTTGGTTTGGTTTTTTAACTAGAAAGGCTCAAAACCCTGTCGGACTATTGCTGTTGATGTTTCTCTACTTGTATGTGACACATCAGGGACCAACTCCTTCAATGAAAAAGGGCAAGTAGAAGAGAAGGACAAAAGAAAATCACAGCAAACATGTCCAGAACTCTTTCTTCACGGGGATCAACTCCTTCAATGAAAAAGGGCAAGTGGAAGAAAAGGACAAAAGAAAACCACAGCAAACATGTCCAGAACTCTTTCTTCACTCCAGGAGGCTGCACAAAATGAAATGGCTGCAAAGCAGTGCCACACCTGGAAGAAAAAGCTGCAAATTTAAATGGAAGAGCTACCAACTATTCTAGGCTCAAGAACAGAGATCAGCGGGCACACGGAATGAAAAAATAGCTGCAAATTTAAACGGAAGAGCTGCCAACTATTCTAGGCTCAAGATCAGAGATCAGCGGGCACACGGAATGAAAAAATAAAATATGGGTAGCCTAATTTGGTGGAAGGATTTAATCAAAAACAAGTTACAGGAACTGGAGGTCAAGTTACTGTGCAACCTAATTTGGTGGAAGGATTTAATCAAACACAAGTTACAGGAACTGGAGGTCAAGTTACTGATTTTTTGTGGACATGGTTCCTCCAGGATATGATGAGCTTTACTTCCTCTACAAGGCTCTGAACTGCAGTTACAACAGAGACACAAAAAGTAACCTGAAATGCTGCGATTTAGTCCTACAAGTAGAGTAATTTCTTCACAACACCTGGAATTCAGCAACAACCTTTATTAAAATAATCTAACCTAGCAGACTCCTGGAATGTAATTGTTAGTACACTTGAGTGGACAAGGAAACATTTCACAGAGAGCTTTTTATCAATACCCAGCTCTACTTAGAACTGTAATAAAACCAGTAATTGACCTGTGTTTTAGAACAAGTAAAAATTATTTCATGCCTAACAGCTTCATTTCTCTGCTGTGCTTTATTAAGTTCTGCTAAATACCATATGTAACAGTTACCTTGTCAGGACAAATTACCTCTCCCAGCCTAGGGCACAACATGACACGGCCACAGAAGAACCCTTCCTAACCCGCCAGCCCTCATTTTTTTCCAAGCGGTTGTATGTCAAGAACTGGAATTTAGAAGCTTCCCATGAAGAGTTCTCCTAAGGTTTCATGGATTTCAGTGTAAAGATATGGATGAGAAGGAAGCAGAAAGATGTCTGGGAGCTGGTTGAAGAACTGCTTCCTTAAGGGCAAAAGGCTTTCAGGTATTTTGGGAATCACACACGCATACAGGACACGTTTATAGGTCTAGATTCAAGTCAGCAAAACACATCTGTCCCAACCCATATAGATAAATCAACCCCATCGAAACCTAAGGAGACTTCAAAAAGCCTGATCCTCTACCTTACGCTCCAGGGGAGGCGAAAAACTCACGCCTCTGCCCTTGAGGGCCATGGCTGCCACGATCTGCACCCTCTGCAACAGCATCGGGACACGAAATACCCTTAATCCACCTCTGCGAGGGCTGGGAACATCACAGAATCACAGAATGTTGGGGGTTGGAAGGGACCTCGAAAGATCACCGAGCCCAACCCTCCTGCCAAAGCAAGATTATCCGGAGTAGGTCACACAGGAATATGTCCAGTCAGGTTTTGAATGGAATCACAGAATTGCTGAGGCTGGTAAAGACCTCTGGGATCATCAAGTCCAGCCTGTGACCCAACATCACCACATCAATCAGACCGTGACACTAAGTGCCACATCCAGCCTGTCCTTCAGCACCTCCAGGGACGGCGACTCCACCACGACCTTGTTCTCCAGCCAGGAAAAGGCACCCTGCAAATAAACCCTTACAAAAGGCCTGTGACTCCTCCACCTCTTCTCTCTCGGTAAATCAAAACAGAGATCGCAAATACAATTTTCAAAAACACGCCCTGCCCAACAACACGAAAGCCAACTTCTTCTGAGCGAGGCAGCTTCCCGGACCCCTTGGGTCAGGCAGAGCCCGGGGCGGGCGGCCGAGGGCGACTCACCTTGGCGAGCCCCGCGCGGTGAGCTCCCTGCGACTCCATGTAGGCGATGTACTTCCCAAAGTCGCGAAACTCCTCGAGGGTGGGACGGAAGGTCATGATCTTACAGCTGGGGTTCTGGGAGCTTGGAGCTTCTGACCCCATATTTCCAGTACGAGAGCGCCTGAGGAGGGGAGAAAAAAAGGGAGAAACGAAGGAGAGAGGGAGAAAAAAAACACCGGTTAAAAATCTTGGTTTTCTTGCTACTTGCTTTCATGAATTTCACAGAAAGGCATGGATATGGGTTTTGTTTCTCTCCCCTACTCCCCCAAGAATGTATTTGTAAGTACCATCCATGAAGAGCTTCCGACCAAAAATCTACTTGGTCTCTTTGTCAGCAGGGCCCCGAGAAGGGTCGAGTATCAGGGAATTCCTGACACCGGGATCACCCGAGAGATCGGAGAGGGCCTAAATATAGATGACGGGCTTCACATCTCCCCGTCCATTCATCACACGGAGCCGGGTCTCAGGGGAACGGCCCTGAGGAACAACAAACTCCTCACTACCTACCCGGTGCACGTGCGGAACGAGCTGCCCCTTAAAGTTTTCCATCAGAACGCTTCTTCTACATTTACTTACAAACCCAGTAGCCTTGACCAACGTATTAGCTGATGTTTCTTGCAGTTTTTTCCCATGTGCTAGGCTACATTAAGAATCACACCACAGCTTCGTTACGTATCGAGTGCATTTGCAACGTACATCGAAAGAATTAAGGGTCAGGCGATTCTTTGCAGAAACGGAGATGCTCAACTTCAAAATGTCTTTCAACACGAGAAGCAAAATTGCTCAAATTTACTTTAAAAGTTGCAGGAGGGTAAAAAAAAATTCCCAAACAAGTCATGATGAAATCACAGTTTTAAAAATGAGACTTTGCAAGGTGACGTTGGACACTTATAAGGTAAAAGGAAAGTTTTTAATCACATTTCAGTTGCAAAGACAACTATGAAGCCACTCTCCACATCAGGAAAGCAGCTGCAGCACACAGGATGAGCTCAGGCTATCACGAGAGGGCAGCACGGGGCTTTGAAGGAATAAAAGCTGCAGTGACAATACCTCAGATGGGACTTCTCTGCAAGCCTAAGCCTGTCCCCAGCACAGTCTTTATTTTTTCACACATAAAATCTCATGTGCTCGTCCCATTCTCTGTCTCTGCTGCAGCCCTGGGCTGAGCTCGCCCTGAGCCAGGAGCCAGAGATGCTCCTCAACAAACCCCTGCCCCAAGAGATTTCCAACTTTGCCGTATAGGAAGAAAAAAATTGCTACATTTCAGGGTCAACATTTAAAGATAAGAAGCATACTCAGTCTATACCCACATGAAGAAATGCTTTGCAGAAATACAAAAAGAGGAAACGGCATCTCCTGTCCCCAAGACAAACCAGGGGAGCTGCGAAGCTCCCGGCATCCCCCTGCCAGAGGTTTCCTCCAAATCGCTGAAGCAAAACGTTGTTCACCAGGAAAATAGAGCTGGTCCTGGTGAAGAGTCAGAAGAAAAAGAAAAGCGACCACTGCAGAAGCCGGACACAGAAAGAAACCATCCCCAAACTTCTACTCCAACGCAACTCTCACTGAGAGCACTTGGGCTATTTTAAACCAGGTCTAGAAATGCCACCGTCGGTGACCGGCACGGGAAGCTCTGCAGCAGCACCGGCCGGCTCTGGCTCAAGGAAAGCAACTTGAATTCCGTCCTGAGGAGGATCCGTGCCAGCACCATCTGCTCCAGGGATGCCTTCCCGCTACTGGCAGCTTTACCCACAGCCGGGGGGGAAAAAGTAACAATAAATAGTCAAAGTCAGGCTTTATCCCCTCTTTTCACCCAAGATCATCTCCAGCAATTCCAATTTTTATTCAATGAACTGGGAGCAAATAGTCAAAATAGATGCTCCGACAAAAATGATTTCATGCAAAGCTTAATCAACTAATTAAAGGGTCTGCCTGCCTCAACACGAGCAATGTCGCTCGGCACTCTGCAACTCTAGTGCGGAAACAGCAGAGCACAACAGATTTTTCCATGTTGAATCCCATCTCTTTATTCTAAGGAACATCTTAACACCTACCCTAGATAATATTCGCTACAAAGCATGTCCATCAAGCTAAATTAATTCAACTATTACAAAAAAACAGGCATGGAGCACATGGCAAGGGAGAATCAGTTCACCTTGCTCAGCCGGAGAAGCATCCAATGCCTACAGGAGCCACAGAAAAAGCTTTGGGAGAAAAGAATTCTTTTAACTACTTTGCACATAAAGCACTGATTATTTAGGATAAACAGCAGCAGGATTGACTGTTACCTCCTGCCCAGCTCCTGGCACCACGGAGGACAAGGGGCTGCGACAGCAGGACGAGCGCGGGGCTGCGGCAGGAGCCCGGCCAGGCTCCTCAGGAGATTTTTCAGGAGAGCCTCCAGAAAACAGAGCTGGAATAAGCTCACCAGCATCGCCAAGAACACGGACTCGGACTCCTCTGAGAGCACTGAGCGCTTTTTTCGCTCCCGGCTCTGCCATGCAGCGGGTTGGATGGTGACGAAGTGAACAAACTCCTCTATTAATACTGAAAAGGATGATTTTGCAGAAAGAGTCCAAGCCCCCCTGTTAGTTCTCGAGAAGAAGTATTAAGGTATTTTTCTCAGCAGGGTGAGTTGTAAGAGAGAAGAACAGCTTGAAACATTATGAAAACCCTCTAATTTCCATCCGTGGTAAGGAAACGCTAAAACTTGTCTCCAGAGGGATGACCGTGGTGGATACAGAACGTCGAGTTTTTAATTTCAATGACTTTTACCTCAGACTTTTCCCTCTAAAACCGATGCGAACCAAGACGCTGAAATCCTACACCTGTCGATTGAAACCTTTGTAGGGCAGAAAAAAAGCCCGAGAAACCCAGCCGAGATCAACGACTGGCGCTTGCTAAAGGACTGACAGGACTGAGAATCCTTCCCCCAGTGGACTTTCAAGCAGTTCCCCACCGCTCCCTCGCTATTGATCTCGGGTAACGCCAACTCATTCTCCTCCACGTCTGAGTTACGGGGTAACTTGGACTAAAAGCAGAGACTATTAGTGGAAACGAACCTGCTTTTAGTCCCCAGCGCCGGAGTTCCTGCTGTCCCTACACCTGCACCCAGGGCACAGCCCGCAAACATAAAGCGAACCAGTCGGGCTGGTTTGCTGCTCCCCCGGGGTTACCAATCCGGATTTGAATAGTAAAAACACGGCAGAATTTATGACAGAGGACTCGCTTTGTTTACCTGGTAACACTAGAAGACCACCTTTAATCTTGCTCGACAAACCTAACGCGTTCTCTGGGATTATCAGTTTCTTCGCTAAAGCAGAAGGGGCGTCCCTTCGGAGCCCTTCCAAGGTGACACCAGGTCTGAAGGTAAATCTGGATCCAAGGGACGTACGTCCTGCTGCCACGCACATCGCACAACGGGCAAAACCCCTTCTGAACAACCTCTTGGCTCTCCAAAGGTGAAGTTTTCCACCATCAACCCCAGAAAAAGAAATAAATTTAAAAGGCTTTGAAACCTCACAACCAAATACAAAAAGATGAAGGGAAGGGAAAATACATGCCCGTAGCAAAAAAAAAAAAAGGAGAAGGCAGAGGAGTTCAAAAGCTGGTAGGCAAAATCACGGCATGGAAGCCACCGGCAGCAAAAACATCACTTTGTGGTGATGCCTCCTCAGCGACTCCGCAAGATTTCCCTTGGGTTGGGCTGGAAGGGGCCGAGCAGCCCGGCAGAGGAGTCCTCCCGAGCGCAGAGCCCCGGACAGGTCACCCGTGGGCACAGGGGCTGGCCCCGCTCCCGCAGCCGGCCGAAGGAAGATGAACCCCAGCCATGGACACCTCGCGGAAGAACCAAAGTGCTGGCCACGGTTTGAAGCGAGAGGAAGTCTCACAGCGGAGAGCTCCCGAGCTCCCGGCCACGGCCATTTGCTCTTCTCCTGCGCCAAACACCAAGATCTGCGGCGCCAGGGAGCCAACTCCGGTGACAGAGTTGTGCTTTAGAACAAGTTTGTGCTTGCAGGGGTCGGACTTTTACCACGGCTTCATCACACAACAGGAGCTCCCAACATCCGACGCAGTTACCGGGGAAGCCTGGGCTCGCTAAACTCTCCGAGGAGGTTCCCTTCTCCCAAATTGTCCTCCTACAACGGACTCTCTCTTCCCCAGACAGGAGAGCTCGTCAGCTCCCACCTAAACGGGAGTTTGTGCACACCTAAAAATGGATGGAGGGTTACGGGTGCTCTTCAGCAGAATTGCCCTTTTACTACAGAATGCTGAACCCACTAACTCTTCACCTAATCAATGCAGACAACAAACATCGCTGCACTTGTAACACCAGTAAAACCGCTGTTAGCAGTTAAGAAAATTAAGTTGCACAGCTCGTTACGCTACATAAGGGCAGTGAATTACACACCCTTGCAGGGGACCATCTAAGGACAACGCACACCAAGCCAAGGCAGGGACATGTAATAAGTCCCAGATATTGAGGAGGGCGGAAAAAAAAGAGAAGATATAATGAGAAGATCTAAATGAGGCAGATCTAAATAGCTTAGATAATTGAAGACATAAAGAAGATGTCGTTTCCAGCACAAAGCACAAAAATCATTAATATATAACAAATTATTCGTTTCAATGCCGAAAACATAGCGGCTCCCTCTTTGGGGATGAAACCCTGAGTGTGTTCTTCTCCTGAGTGGAAGAAGCTGCTATCAAGCGAAAAATTTACTGTTTTAATATTTTAGACAGATAAAGAGAGATGCCGTATCTTAAGCAAGGTTTTAAAAATCACAACAACAAAACCTTAAAACCTCCATTTTTCACCATAACGTGTCAGAGCACAGTCACAGCCTGGCAGCACCGCCTCGCACAACAGGAAACTCCGTTATCGAGGGCAACAAACTCTCTAATCCTGTTTCAACCTTCTATCTTCTCACCTCACCTGGCAGTTTCCCCTTGAGAACTTACATCTATCGATCCAAACGCACCCAAATCTCCCCTCGCCTTTCAAGAATAACCCGAAAAAGAGAGTTTTGACTCCTGCTAGGATTGCCCAGGGCAGGCTGGGCAGCCCAGTCAGATTTCCTCGTCACCTGGGCATGGTCCCCAGCAG